CCCAAACAAAAAAAACCCCCCCCCCCCCAAAAAAAAAAAAAAAAAAAGAAGAAGAAAACAGTGAACATTTTGACATGATATATTTAACGTATATGAAATGTATTTCATATATTAAAGTTTTGAATAATAGCAGTTCAATATTAACTCTAATTTTACTCGAATAAAATAAAACAAAGAACTGTTGAATCTTACATATTGTTCTTTAAGAGTTCCTAAAAAAGCTAAGATCAAAAAGAGATTAAATAAATTATGGAGAGATTGAACTCATTTCAGATTTATATGATAGGAATTGATTCCCTGCTTTGAAAAATAAAGTTATTTTCTTTCTTTCTTTATTTTTTGGAAAGGTTTTTGCTATAGGGCACATGCACTCACCATAAAGACAGAGACAGAGAGACAGAAAGCGAGAAGTCGGGGTATTGGCCATGCTGCAATCCCTTCTCCTCTATTCTCCTCTCGGGATCTTGGTCAGACTGGCATGCATGCACATGCGCCTGGCATGAGTTTTAAGTCACCAGGTCCGGAACTCGAACCGCAGTTTACTACATGGGAGTCCAGGCACATAGCCATTACGCTAACTACTGGTCCCTTAATCTTTTTCCTTTTTTTTTTGGAAGTTATTTTCTTTCTTAAACTTCTTGCTCCTACTTTCTATCTCTTGAATTTTCTTTTTCTTTTTTTTTTTTTAAGAATTATTTTATTTAACTTTATTTATTTATTTATTTAAATTTGACCAGAAAGGGACAGAGCAAGAGAAAGAAAGGGGGGAGAGAGAGCGAGAGAAAGTGAGAAAGCAAGTCCATGGACTCGAACCGCAGTTGGCCATGTGGGAGTCCAGTGACCTTAACCACCATGCCACCTGCTGGCCCCTCTTGAATTTTCTTGACACTGTTTTTCTTTTCAGATCTATGACTGCTTCCCCCTCTGTAATGTATCTCTTTGGATTAAGTGCTCACTACTAGTTTTTAATTGATTTCATTGTTGGTTTTTCTTTTTTAATATTATTATTTAATTTTATTTATTATTATTGTTTGCTATACTGCACATGCATTTGCTAGAGAAAGGCAGACAGAGAGAGAGAGGGAGAGAAGGAAAGTGAGAAAGGAAGTTGCCAGGTCCAGGACTTGAACCATGGTCGGCCATGTGGGAGTCCAGCACCTTAACCACCTCGCCACCTGCTAGCCCCCATTTTTGTTTTTTCTTTGTGGAGCTCTGTGGATTCTGTATTCCTGGGGTTCTTTACTATTTGGAAATGTCTATTCTTTATATATTCAAACATCAGAATGACTATATATTGCAATCCTGAATCATCCATTTTTTTTTTTTCATAACTGTGGAGACATTTATTTTCTTGTGTTTTATGCCATTGAGTAGTGAAGCTGAATGAACCAATTTAAAGTGACTTTCAGTAAATACTAGGGGACTTCAGCAAGTTTGTGAAAAAATGGGATTAAAGAATGAGTTTATTTTGGTGCAAGAAATTTTGAAATCCATGTTGGTTTTTTTTTTTTTTTTTTTTGGGGGGGGGAGATTTTTGCTATAGGGCATGTGTGCTCGCCAGACAGAGAGAGAGAGAGAGACAGAGAGACAGAAAGCGAGAAATCACCCCCCAGGGTGGATGGCCACGCTGCAATCCCTTCTCCATTCTCCTCTTGGGATCTTGGGCACACACGCACATTCACATGCGCCCAGCGTGAGTTTAAGCCACCAGGTCCGGGACTCGAACTGTGGTCGACTACATGGGAGCCCAGCGACATAGCCATTATGCCAACTGCTGCTCCCTAGTTTTTTCATATTATGAATTTCCCGTAACTTTTTGAAGACTCATGTACAGTTTATGAACCATCATTCCTTGTATTAGCCATTTTATGATTTATCATTATTATCTAAATATACTGTGTGGTTCTCTTTTTTTTTTTTTTAACTTTTTTTCTTTTTTGAGAGATTTTTTGCTTTGGGGGCTTGTGCTTGCTGGAGAGACAAAGAGACTGAAAGTGAGAAATCACGCCCCAGGGAGAATGGCCACTCTACAGTCCCCTCTCCTTCACTCTCCTCTTGGGATGTTTATACCATCTTCTGGTCCCACTGTTCTTGATAAAGATTTATATTTTAGATAGGTTTTTAATTTTCACAGGAAATGTCAGGAAAACACAACATGAATTTTGCTGTTTGTTATTAGAGTCATATTTTGTTGTTAAATGAGAGTTTAGTGGGCGCAGTGGTTAAGGCACTAGACCTCCACATGGCTGACTGTGGTTTGAGTTACTGACTTAAGACTTGAAAACTCACGGCAAAAATTTAAAAAAAATAAAAAAGAGTTTATCTCCGTTTAAGGAAGCAAGTTTTTGCTTAGTTTCCTGTATCTTTGACTTTTATTGCCAGAAAATAAATTATTTACAAGAGCATAATGAAAAAAGTCTAGTAGGGGTCCATACTGTGTGTTTCTCTAGTTTTCATTTAATTCAAAACTGTTTCTGGGGCCAGCAGGTGGCGTGGTGGTTAAAGCACATGGCCAGCTACGGTTCCAGTCCTGGACCTGGTGGCTTGATTTCTCACTTTCCTAAATGAATGAATAAATAAATAGAAGTAAATAATTATTTTTTAAAAAATGAATGAAAACTGTTTGCCTGCTTACCGAGAGATGGACATTTCTGGTATCCTAAGTGGTTTTTTTTTTTTTTTTTTTGGAGAGATTTTTGCTATAGGGCGCATGCGCTCACCAGACAGACAGAGAGAGGCAGAGAGACAGAAAGCGAGAAATCAAAATCATCAATGGCCACGCCGCAATCCCTTCTCCTCCATTCTCCTCTCGGGATCTTGGGCATGCACACACACGCGCCTGGTGTAAGTTTAAGCCACCGGGTCCGGGACTCAAACTGCGGTCGACTACGTGGGAGTCCAGCGACATAGCCATTACACTAACTGCTGGTCCCAGAGGTTTTGTATTCTTATGAGTGATTGTTTTTTTTCCTAATTTGTTCCTTGAAGAGTTATTTTGTTATACTTGAAATGAC